GATTTATCAGATTCAGAGCGAAATATTCACCTAAATATAAATCATTTCTTTTGCGGTCTTCATCTATTAACTGGTTTGGCCGATAAAAGTGCGTCTGAATTGAAGAAATTTGAGGAAATGTATTTTAAAATGTATTCGGCCCAAACGTTTAAAACCGCTTCTTCATTTTTGCCAAACGAACCTGGGTGTGTTCGATTGGTTCGGACCATCTGTAAAGCCTTTACAAAGGGTGGGGACGAAAAGTCGGGTTGTTATTTGCCTTTTAAGTTGTATCTTAAGTCCCTTGGGATTTCAAAATACCGCTAACGCCATTTCATGATAACCGGTTTAATATTATTTTCCACATTGTCGCAATTGTAAATTATATGGCCAAGCATATAACAAATTTTCTTGGTGATTTTGGAACAGAAAATAGATTGACCCAAAGCATATTTTTGGATATTAAAATTCCGTTATTTCATATTGAGTGCCAGGCTTTGGGCTTGATAGATAAATTAATTACAGCTTCACTGTGGCGCATACTAGAAAGCGGCATTAATGCACTTGGCATGAAAACTATTTATCAGGAATTACATGATTTTTTGGATAATCCTAATATTGAAAACTTTGTTGAAGGTAAATCACACCCATTTGAATCTCTAATTAAAATTGAAAATGATTCGGTCCTTGCTAACCTGACGAAATTTGATTCTGATTTAACTTTTAATTCAACCCTGATCCATATTTTGGAAGTCCTCTTTGCTGAGTTTAGAAAGTACATTGCAAAAATTTTACTTGAGTATCGAGATGACTTTAATCCTTCGTGTTCGAGTTCTGCCATGCCTCACAACAAATTACCGGAAACCGTGTTCAGTCATCTCGATAGATTAATCGCGCCCTCGTCTAATATTTTTGGCAACGAAGCGTCCATTTTATGTAAAATGAATAAATCTGATGAATGGCTAAAAAATCTTTCACCTGATAAACGTAATTTGGTCTTAATGGATGCTCAAACGATAACTAAAAATCAACTTTTTAAATTTAGGCAAAGACGGGAAGAAATCGAAAAGAAAAGCTAGCGGTTCTTTTGGCAAAAAAGAATGAATTAGTACAAAAGGGGAAACGTGAGATTAGGAAAAAAGAGCGCCTAACAACAGAAATTATCGGGGTGGGTCTTTGGAAAAGTAAAGAGGGTATGGAAAATGGGCTTTTACAACTTACAGATAGGCAAATAAAAGAGGCACTGAAGGCACAGCTCCGGTTTCGTAGGTATGTTTTAAATCAGCAAGTTTCCAATAAGTCTATATTTTATTTTTCTGTTCCCGGTAAGGAACACTCGATTTCAGTTTTAAAAGAAAATTTACAAAAATTAATTGACCTGGCTGATCCTACCTAACCGGAAGAAACTTTCAATGCCCCTTTTTAGCGGTTATAAAAAAATACAATTTCTTCATTCTTCGTTTCTAAAACCATTTTATTTGTCAATCCAGACGTCCCAGCAGACCGACATTCCGACACTTCTCACAGTATTTTAACAATTCATTATTTAATAACTGTTTTCTTTAAACCAATCGGTTGATTTTCAGATAGCAATTTATGTTACAAAATACGCCTACTACTGTACATCTGCTTTGATATCGTGCTTGAAAAGTTGCCCTTGAGATACTCTAAGTAAAACATAACTTTTTATTTTGTCCCAAGGGGAACAATTTGGAATATATGTTTATTACAGATTAGTTCTAAATTACATATCTGTGTTTGGTAAATAATGACTATGTATTATTTATTATAAATTGATTTGTGAAATGTCGTAACAGATCGTGTTTTTGGATAAGATTTGAGTTACGCTTTGTTTGATAAAGTGAGAACACCTGATCTAACATACAGGCATGTTGATTCAGAGGGCGTTGGTCACGATGAGATGTGTTTTTGTTAATGTTATCGATCGCTTTCAGTCCCTATAAAGTTATAGGAAATACATATTAAAATAATCAGCATATTTATTCTTGTGTAAAAGCTATCATACAAGAAGGAACGTCCTCCCGAATTTGAATTTGTTCTTAATTATGTATCTTCTAGTTTGTATTCACTTATTCAAACCCAACTACAAAATGTCAATGTACATCTCAAATCTGTACATAACTTGATCAGCTATTGCATATTTTTCATTTAGATTGATTAAAATAGTCTGTCATTATTTATTTAATACTCTAATTACTCCATGAAACTTTTCGTCAATATACATACTTTCCGAACATTATTTCTTAAATGGGATATCAAATATTAATTTACAAAGGCACATTCACATATAAATACCAATATAAACAGACCTATGTTTCTATGGGTATACAGAAAATATAAATAGATTGGTCTAATATATCTACAAAAACTTAAATTTAAATTGGACTGCACACATCAAAATTAAGCACACGGGAATGGCCGATCCAAAACTGAACTGCGTTGCGCATGCTCGAAAATCTTAAATTCAATCGAAGCATGGGGCCAATTTCATCAGATAGCAAATTACGAATTAAACGAATAGTCCCGAATGGTAGTGATGGTTCATTCTTATCGGAAAATAAATCAATAATTTGAAATAACCAAGAGAACATAACTCCGTCAACATTGAAAACCCAAAATAAATATGTCCGCGGATGGTGCACAAAAGCAGTGTATTTTACAATGCAGTCGAATGGATATATCTTGTGAAATATAGAACGCAGGTACAGTTTCTTGGCAGTTTATAATAAAGGATCATCTAGGGTTGTTATTTATATAAATATAGTGCCATAACTGTAAATAGTTTTCGAGATTTTTTCGGCTCGGGCCACCCTACTCATAGCATACTGTATGGCGTATGCCCGTCTTCATTAGCCCAGCATAGGAGCAGAACAGTAGGATGTTAAATTCCATTTCATTCACCATAAAATTTCAAAGATGTGTTGAATAACGAAATGTCTCTGTACCGCCAATTTGTGTTGAGCATTTATTTCCATTTCTAATTTTAAGCCTACCTTCGCCCGTAAAGTCAGCAGGCCACTGACCTATATTAAGGCTATTTGAATTTCCATCAGGATGAGGCATCAGGATAATTTTGGTTTCGTATGTACCATAGGGGCGATGATAGCGACATACGATACAAGTTTGTTTAGTTGGATATTTATTTTTTTAACGTTGTATTATTCAATTTGTTGGCCACCTATGTGTGTAAACAATCTGGATACAAACGAAAAATTCCATAACAGGCCCACTCCACTAGGCACTACAAGTAGGCTTATTCTATTAAAAAAGGTTGTAATTTAAAATAAATCCCACTTGTCTTTTTTGACCCCCGCCTTTCGAAGACCATGGGTTCGTCCGTCTGTCTGTCGGTCCGCCCGTCCGTCACACATTTTGGGACACAATAACTCTCAATGCCTTGATGGAGTTCGGAGATGAGCATTTTCAGGTTAGGGTAAGCAGAGATAAGCAATTTGATAGGCTGATGCTTTGGGACACGATAACTTTAGTTCTAATTAAGTGAGAGTGATGAAACTTGGTGTATAGTTTCATTACATCAATACCTCGACTAAGTTCGATAATGAGCATTTTCTGCTCAGGGTAAGAAGAGCGATATGCAATTTGATTGGTCGAGACATTGGAACACAGTAACTCTCCTTATAATTGAGCTAGAATCTTCAAACTTGGTGTAGGTGTTTATTAGGTCAATGCCTTGATGGAGTTCGAAGATGAGCATTTTCTGCTTACGGTAAGCAGAAATAAGCAATCTGATTGGTTGATGCTTTGAGGCACGATAACTTTTGTTCTAATTAAGAGAGAGTGACGAAACTTGGTGTATAGTTTCATTACACCAATACCTTGACTAAGTTTGATAATGAGCATTTTCTGCTCAGGGTAAGCAGAGCGATAAGCAATTTGATTGGTCGAGACTTTCGAACACAATATCTCTCATTCTAATTGAGTTAGAATGTTCACACTTGGCATAGGTGTCTATCAGGTGAATGCCTTGATGGAGTTCGAAGATGAAAATTTTCGGCTTAAGGTAAGCAGAGATAAGACATTTGATTGGTTGATATACATGAGACACAGTAACTTTAGTTCTAATTAAGTGAGAGTGAGGACACTTGGTGTATAGCTTTATTACATCAATACCTTGACTAAGTTCGATTATGAATATTTTCTGCTGAGGGTAAGCAGAGCGATAAGCAATTTGATTGGTCGAGACTTTGGAACACAATAACTCTCCCTCTAATTGTGGTAGAATGTTTAAACTTGGTGTAGGCGTTCATTAGATGAATGCCTTGATGGAGTTCTATGATGAACATTGTCTGCTTACGGTGAGCAGAAATAAGCAATCTGATTGGTTGATGCTTTGAGGCACGATAACTTTGGTTATAATGAAGTGGGAGCGATGGAACTCCGAATATAGATTCATTATATCATTAACTTGACTAATTTCGATGGTGAGAATTTTCTGCCTAGGCTAATGAGCGATAAGCAATTTGATTGGTCAAGACTTCGGAACATAATAACTCTGCTTTTAATTGAGGTAGAGTGTTTAGACTTGATGTAGATGTTCATTGGGTGAATGTCTTGACTGAGTTCAATGATTAACATTTCGAGCTGTAGCTAAGCAGAGCTAATCAATTTCATTGGTCAATGCTTTGGGACAAGATAATCTTGATTCTATCTGATAGAGAGTGATGAAACTTTGTGCATAGTTTGATTGCTTGATACTTTTGAAAAAAAATTGTGCGATTAATTAATGTGTGTCATCTATTATTTTTGGATTTCGGCGGGGGACATCAGCCTCACTGTTGGCTTGTTATTGCTTCTGTGCTGTCTGATGCTCCCAAAGAGTCCACCGTGCATAGGTCTTTGACTATTAATATAGGTCAAGTGTCCATTTTGGATCAGCCAGTCAACAATTTTAGTTTTGTTACAAAATGAAATATTGATTCACATGATTAATCTACTGATCAAAAGTTTTAATTCTTATGCATTTTTTTAATGTTTTACAGTAGTCGATGTTGATAAACGTATGAAGTCGTTGAGAACGGTCTTGTCCAAAATCTGTTCGAAGAAAACACCAAGTGACAGTGCCTGTAAATCATTGACCATTAAAGAAAAATGGGTTGTAGATAATCTACAATTCTTTAAGCCCCACTTGGTAAATTCACAAGCAACAACGTCATCATTTCAAGTAAATAATTTTTATTGTATTTTTTCAAAATGTCTGTCTTATACTTCTCAAAGTATGAAGTAGATGGATCTCTGTGTGCAGAATGGGTTGGGGGTTGGTTGGAGCGGTCGATATGGACGCGTCAAGGTGGAGGTCAAGTGTTCGAATCCCGGTGGAGGTTGGGGTGAATCTTGTGGGTTTTTCTGACTGGGATCCCGTTGTCCGATGAGGACTGGCATTGAAGAGTGATCTAGTCCATCTGACAGATAAAAAAAAGGACGAGTCGTGTTCGATTGGTAGAGCACATTACCTTGGCAGCAATAGCCATCAATGGAAATTATGCCCATCTGCAATATGATTAAGTTAGCAGCGAATGTTAAATAACAACACTCGATGAGAACAAAAATATATATTATCCACTATTATTAATTTATATTAGATGAGCACTATACATTGGTCACTTATTTCCGAACTTGATAAAGTTGATAAATAATATTTATGTAAATAAATGTAAATAAATACTAAATATACATAAATGTAAATAAATAATAAATGTAAATAAATCATTTTCAACTAAATTTGAAATGTATTGGGGTGCTTGTTTTTCAACTAGATAGTTATGCAGGCAACATGATGTCATCAATAAATTTATTACTTTTGCTGGCTCCAGCTCGATTGGAGTTTGAAAAACCCTAAATCTGGCTTCCAATATGCCAAAGGCATTTTCGACTACTCGCCGTGCATGGCTCAAGCGGTAATTGAACAGTACAACATCCCTTGCCAAGTTTCTATGAGGAAATGGCTTCATCATCCCCGACTATATGATAGTGCCACAAGGCATTTGAGCCTTTCAATTTGCCAGCAACTGGTATTTTAAACAAGTTCTTATCCAGTCCAACTTTCAATGTTGAATCCCCACAAACACCTGCATCACCATTTCTTCCAGGTGCACCTGCAATTTATAGTTGGCATCCACTAATGCTGGAAGTAAAATACTGTAGACGTTCTTATAATTATAATAGATCCAGTCGGCGGTTTCTGCGTTCTTATAATTATAATAGATCCAGTCGGCGTTTTCTGGGTTGTTTTTTTTATCCTCACATGTTTTCCGTCCAGGGCCCCCATGCAGTATGGGTAATTATCCCGCGCCAAACGAAGTTAGGGAGGGATATTGAAATGGGGTTCGTCCGTCCGACCGTCCGTCCGTCCGCCCGAATTCGTTTCCAGAGCATATCTCATAAACCGCTCAAGATTTCTTTCTGAAACTTTGCACACATATCAACCTATTACAGTAGTTGTGCCTTTTGCTATTTAGGAATTTCTGGGATTTATATTTTTTGTGTTGCCATGGAAACAATTTGACTTAGTTTTTGGTGTATAATTTTGTTTCCGGAGCATATCACATAAACCGTTCAAGATATCTTTCTGAAACTTTGCACACGCATCAACCTATTACAGTAGTTGTGCCTTTTGCTATTTAGGAATTTCTGAGATTTATATGTTTTGTGTTTACATTGAAAAACAAAAATGACTTAGTTTTTGGTGTACAATTTTGTTTCCGGAGCATATCTTTTAAACCATTCAAGATATCTTTCTGAAACTTTGCACACACATCAACCTATTACAGTAGCTGTGCCTTTTGCTATTTAGGAATTTCTGGGATTTATAGGTTTTGTGTTTCCATGGAAACAAATTTGACTTAGTTTTTGGTGTACAATTTTGTTTCTGGAGCATATCTCATAAACCGTTCAAGATATCTTTCTGAAACTTTGCACACACATCAACCCATTACAGTAGTTGTGCCTTTTGTTATTTAGGAATTTCTGGGATTGATATTTTGTGTGTTTCAAAGGAAACAAATTTGACTTAGTTTTTGGTGTACAATTTTGTTTCCGGAGAATATCTCATAAACCGTTCAAGATATCTTTTTGAAACTTTGTACAGACATCTACCCATTACAGTAATTGTGCTATATAGGAATTTCTGGGATTGATATTTTGTGTGTTTCCATGGAAACAAATTGACTTAGTTTTTGGTGTACAATTTTGTTTCCGGAGCATATCTCATAAATCGTTCAAGATATCTTCATGGCACTTATTTTAAATTTGTCAGATTTGATAATTTTATGTGTTTCCATGGAAACACATTTGACTGTTCAAGATACCTTTAAAATAATTTTACCCATTATTTTATTTTCTGAAATCCAGCCTTCCGTCCTGATTTTGTTCCTGGAGCATATTTCATATCTGTTCAAGAAATCTTTTTGAAACTTTGTACAAACATTAACCTATTATAGTATTTTATTTTCTGATGTATAAGTTTATTGTTTAACTTGCAGCAGCTAATTGAGGTAGGCAAAGGTTGTTGTGCAAAGCTTTCAGGGAGTAGCGACCCTGCCTTGCCGAACTACTGTGATCAGAGTATGAAATTCTGTGAATTGATATTCCATGTGTCGGAATATGAAATTTATCTGAAGCTCCAGTTCCCTCCAAAATATCTCTATTTTCTATGTAGTCATGTCTAATTTTTAAAACCAGAGCTTAATGTCATAAATTATCTCAAATCTTCTAGTAAATAGCAATCGGTCGTTTGTTTTCAGAAATAGAGAGCAATATCTACTGAACAGGGCTACAATATTAGGACCAGTGACACTGTTTGCGAAATCTGATACATTTTTATATTGATTACCAATAGCATAAACAAGTTATTTTTCCTTATTTCTTCCAAACAAGTGCAAGGGCGCGGGATGTTGATGACTAGTCATCTTGTTTCACTTAGTTTCGAAGTTTGTGGCAATTTCTTTCCATTGAGGGGGGTTGGATGGCCGAATGGTTAGCACGTGCGTGCTGTATCATAAAGTCTATCATTGAGTCAACTGGCGTGGTTTCGAATCCCCGGTTGTACGTGACAAGGAGTAGGGTCGCTTGTCCAACCTCGTGAGTTTTCACCGGGTCCCCCGTTTTCCTCCCACTGCTAAAGACCCCTACGCGCAAGCGAATTATTGAAATAAAATTGAACCATGTGTTAATCTCGAAATGACCTAGTTTGTGGACGTTAAACCCCATTTCTCTCTCTCTCTCTCTCTCTCTCTCTCTCTCTCTCCATTGATTTGTATCTGGCATCTGGAAGTAAAAGACAGCAACTATTACTATAATGTGAATAAATTGTTGAGATAAGAACAAATCAAAATAGATATCTTGGTTATATTTTAAGATTCTAGAAGAGGATATTTATGAGGACAATGATAGTACAAAAAATGAACATATAGTCAATGAAAATAATGAATATGATGATGTTTAGTATGTTTTAACCAATGATTGCCCATGAACGCCTTAAACTCCACCAACCACATGAAAGACAGTCAATAGGCCAATTTCAAAACAAAAAATACCGGTAGCATCTAAAACTGCAAGAAAAACGAGAGCATCGCTAACGCTGCAATATACGCCCAGATTCCAGCATTGATTGATATGGTACTTTTTGAAATGAAGAGAATGAAATATGAAATGGCTGTTATATGATAAGAGGCAAAGAAGGCTAGGCGTTGGGTTTGTTTTGCCAAATTTACAGATAAAATACTAACAAAACAAAAAAGTGGGTGTGACACTGTCCCAGGAAGTCGGGGCAAGCACCAAAATGAATAGTTGCAAAGTTCCAAGATGATCCATTCAGAATTGCAGCCTGTAGACGTTAAATACAAAAAAATGGGTGTGGCTCTGCCCTGGGGGTTGGATATGGAACAATATAAATATTGAAATGACAACATCAATAGTTGCCGTCCTTAGTGTAAATACGGAATAAGTATTCCAAGTTCCAAGATAAACCATTCAGAATTGTGGCCTTCGGGCGCTAAAGGCAAACATTGGGCGTGGCTCTGCCCCTGGGGTCGGGGCATTCACCAAAACCAATAGTTGACTCCCTTAGGCTATTAAGGAATACATATGCCAAGTACAAAGTTGATCCATTCAGAACTCCGGCCTGTTAACGATAAACACAAAAATTGGGCGCGGCTCTGCCCCTGGGGGTCGGGACATGCAGTTGTCGTCCTTAGGCTATAAGGAATACATATCCCAAGTTCAAAGACAACCCATTAGGAATCGTGGCCTGTACTGTAGGCAACTCTCTGAGACACAAAGAACAGATAGGTGTAGCTCTGCCCCTGGGGTTTGGGCAATCACCAAAAAAATAATAGGGGGCATCCTTAGGGTATAAGGAATAGGTATGCAAAGTTTCAAAATGATCTGTTAAGAATTGCGGCCTGAAGATGACAAACAAATACAAGAAATAGGCGTGGCTCTACCCCAGGGGTCGGGCATGCACCAAAAACAATAGGGATCATCCTTAGGGTATAAGGAATTCATACGAATTTTTTTCAAGACGATCGATTAAGAATTGTGGCCTGTAGGCGACACACAGACACGCAAAAAGAAAATGGGCTTGGCTCTGCCCCTGGGGGTTAAGTATGCACCCCAAACGATAGGGATGTTCCTTAGGGTACAAAGAATAAGTATGAAAAGTTTCATCATGATACGTTAAGAAATGCGGATTGTAGATGACAAAGAAATGCTAAAAATGGGCGTGTCTCTGTCCCTGGGGGTCGGGCATGCACCAAAAACAATAGGGATCATCCTTAGGGTATAAGGAATAAGTATGTAAAGTTTCAAGATGATCACTTAGAATTGTGGCCTGTAGGCGACACACAGACATACATAAACATACATACATACACACACACACCCGCACACACACACACTCACACACAGACAGGGGCGACGGCAATATACGTCCACATTATGAATGTGGGCGTATAAAAAGGGATAATGCAGAATTAACTGTCTTAGAAGGCTTACAGAGATATCTGAAATCAGATGAGCAATCTCAGCAGAAACCTGGTGAGGAAGAAGGAGAGGTGGCAGCCTTTTGCAATTGTCTGGCTAAAACACTCAAGAAATTTGATGTACGAACATTTACTATGATAAAACACAATTAATTGTCTGGTCAACGAAGCAGGACGGATTTTTTTTCCGCAAGTCCATGCCCCTCCCACTCATTCACCCTCTTCCTCAACTTTAACGGCATATACTGGAACACCAATAACACATCAACAGTACCATCAAAACGGTATGCACAGCTCTAGTTCACCCCATTTGAGTGACAGTCCCATTGTTCAATTTTCTATCCGATTCAATGGAAATGTATAATTCAAACAATTAAAATATTTTGTTTTCATGTTGTTTAGATTTTGTTGAATTAATTTCCTTGTTCGTAACAATGTTCACATTGCAACAGAAACCTGTTCACAATCAATTGATGTAACAATCATCTTGAATAAATATCAAAATTCTATTATTTTGCTATATATAAATAGAGGATATTTGTCGTTTTGTCGTGAATAACATATTTTATTTCATCGAGAAGCAAGAAAACTTATATTTTCACGAATGCGTAGCAAGACTGAAAATATAAACGTTTTCTTGCTTAGGG